CAAATTATATAAGAAACATGACAAATGTTTACAAATAAAAGAAAAAAGAAACACCGTTATATCTTTCGAGCGGCAAGGGCGCCGCCATTGTGCAGTATTATAACTGGTGACGTCACGGGGTTGGTTGGCTCTGTGCTGAGTTCAGTAAAATACAGTGAAAGATGCATGTAAGCTGGTCGATCCAGCGAACAACTAACGTTAGGTACAGTCATTGTTAGCTAACAGCTGTAAGCATGAACTAGCTAATGATAACTTAGTGTTTAGCTAGTGAACTTTATTAGTACCAGACAAAAAGACGACGTCTAACGTTAACAAACTGCACATGGAAACATTGTTCGTGATGTCTGCAATCATATTCCTGTCTCTTGTCAACACCATGGTCAAGATCAGCGTCGCGCAATTTACAAATGAATCACTCTTTTTTTGTCGTTTCTGTTCAAAGACTTCATCAAACAAGTTGGCAGATCTGTCTAAATCGGTTCGCGAATCAGTTTGAATGATCTGTTCAGTTTCCTCACGCACTGAATCACTTACGCGCTTTCAATTCACACTCGACTTGGAGTTGTAACAGGAAGATTTAAGAACATCAAGAGCGTTGGATGAAGTGGCCATGGACCTACAGTACAGTCTAGTGAAAGCAAATCGACAAATCTATCAAATTGTTTGCCAGCGATGAAGATCTTTATTAGTTGAACATCTTCGTATGCTGTCTGTGAATGAATGATTCCACAGGACGATACATTCGATTTCATTTCATTCAGGTAATACATTTTACAACCAAACAGATTATTACGCCACGATAGCATGGTGCATGGTGTTGACAAGAGACAGGAATATGATTGCAGACATCACGAACAATGTTTCCATGTGCAGTTTGTTAACGTTAGACGTCATCTTTTTGTCTGGTACTAATAAAGTTCACTAGCTAAACACTAAGTTATCATTAGCTAGTTCATGCTTACAGCTGTTAGCTAACAATGACTGTACCTAACGTTAGTTGTTCGCTGGATCGACCAGCTTACATGCATCTTTCACTGTATTTTACTGAACTCAGCACAGAGCCAACCAACCCCGTGACGTCACCAGTTATAATACTGCACAATGGCGGCGCCCTTGCCGCTCGAAAGATATAACGGTGTTTCTTTTTTCTTTTATTTGTTAACATTTGTCATGTTTCTTATATAATTTGATTATAGTGGTAATCTATCTTGTAAATTATGTAAACTTGACTGACTGCTTCATTTCCCCTTTAATGTGCTTTAAGACAAACCATGTGTAATTCATGAGTCAACACCATTACTGAGTATTTTCTCTTTAAAACTGCAGTGAACCAAAGACAGTCTCAAAAACACGGTTTGAAATTGCTGGTGTTTCTGACGCCACAAACGACCTTGTAACCAATCAGATCAACGTGTGATCGTCAACCAGTGGATCTCTGAGCTGAGTGAGTGAGTGGAGGCGGGGATAATTTGCATATTCATAGAACTGTGTATACTAAATGAGGCAAGGGTGTAGTGTTACATTCAAGCTATTTTAAGGCATGAAAACATTTTTTTCAAGGAAAAAAAACGTTTACATGTGTAATTTTGATGATCAAAAGATGAGTTTTAAGGAATACAATTAGGGGGACTTAAAACAATAGTTAACCAATGCATGGTATGGAACGGCCTTTTTTCTCTCCATGATTATCTAATTGTACTTTAAAATACATCCCATTGCGGGCCTAAAATGAGTTGGGAACACCTATCATGTTAAAGCTGCAGTCCGTAGCTTTTTTTGGGTTAAAAATTATCCATAATACATATTTGAGAAAATACATAACCAGCCAGTGTTCAAAACTATCTGCTTGCCGTAGCTCGATTCAAAGCGGTAAGCTTGTAATAATGTTTTTAATTTCAGTGGTACTGGTGGATTTCTGCGGGAGATTCGAGCATGTTTTTGCGTCATTACGTCACATCTGTACACACACATCTGTACACACACATCTGCACACACACATCTGTACACACACATCTGCACACACACATCTGTCCACACACATCTGCACACACACATCTGTACACACACATCTGTACACACACATCTGCACACACACATCTGTACACACACATCTGTACACACACATCTGCACACACACATCTGTGCACATAAAGAAGGAGTCTCGGCTAGTATAAGCTATATTGCGTGTGAGGATGCTGGAGGTGGAGATTTATAGCCTTTTCTCACAGCACTTGATATAATTAAACTTAGCAATTTGATGGCGGATCCAGAAAGGTTCAAACGACAATCACCAGTGACAACAGATTCACCCGCTGTAAAACGTACAAGATTTGGTTCGGACTTCGGAGTGGCTACAGAAAAAAAGAGACTGCAACCGGACCCATGCGAAAACAAAGATAATATCGGAAGGACATTACATGTAGTCACGCAATGCTGACGTTGTTAACATTAACAATTTGAGAACAAAGTATAATTTGCACAGTTGTGCGTGATATGATAAGCGATTGTTAGATTTAATCAGCGCGATTTACTGCAATGTCAGAACCAGAACAAAAGTGGATGTTTCTTACTTGTTCTGACATGTTCCGGTGAAAATTATTATGTTGATCATACTTCCCAAAAGAATAATCTGTGATCCTGAATGCCAGTATCCACACCGGCGCGGTGACTGACAGCCTCACACTCTCCTCAAACACTGTGTTCATCCGCGCTGTGCCGTGTCGAGGGTGTTGAAGTACAACTCACATAAAGTTGATAATTACGCGAATGACTGCAATTGCAGATTTCGAACAGAGATGGCGACAAAGAGGAAAAACTGCGGACTGCAGCTTTAAGTTTATATAGATTAGAAGTTTTGCATGGCACTTCATGCCAAGAACCCAACTCTGAGTTTGCGGGAAACGTCACATTTAGCCCTGACAAACAACCAGCAAGTGTATTGCAAAGCTGTTTTTTAAGTGGTTATGCTGGTCACCACCCCGAAGGGGGACACGATTTTGGGTCAACTCAGAAATGCATTGGAGTTTAAAGGTGTAGATTAGGGCCAAAGATCACCTCCGGCTAGTAAACACTTACCTTGGCGCTGTAAAAAAAAAAGCTCTGTTACTTACCTGAACCGATCTCACCTGCACTGATAAAAGTAAACCTAGCACTGGCCCCCAATGTAGCTCACCGTTACATATCCTGTTGCATGCCACAAAGATTAATCCATCTGAGGAGATGACTGCAGAAAGGTGAGTTTTTCGGTCACGAACACATCACCGGCACGCTTGAGCAAACCCAACGGTGGCGTTATTCGCAAGGGCAGTCATGCCTACATGCACCGCTCAATAAACGCCCGGGAGAGCGACAGGCCACCCTGCAGGAGCAACATTTTGCCTTCGTTCGCTGGGAGATAGGAGCGACGACGCCCTCTCAGTGAAGGTGAGAGAATTAATGTGGGAGACAGGTGGACAGCGGGAACGTGCTGATAGTTGTCGTAATGATGGATTTGACTTTATCTTTCCAGAGCGGAGAGATAATGTTAATGTTGTGACGTGTTATTGCCATACTCATTTGGAGATTATGCAAATAACCTCAGCTGTGACACGGACAAGGCCACTCAGACTGTGCAGAGTTGTTAAGTGTCTGTGACCTGATAATAATATAAGCACACTTTCAACACTGTGAATATTTCATAATGACATGTGCATCATGGGACATAGAACATGATGATGTGAAACAAAGGGGCCGTGAAGTGACAAGACTGCAGATGCCAGTCCAGTGCTTGATTTGAACAGCACAACAGCGCCACCATGTGGTCACATACATTCACAGTCACCAAGATCTGTGCTGATGATGAACCACTTAAAAGTCTAGACAATCTGTTAAAGTGACGCTGGATAATATCCGATGTAAATTGTAAATTCTCAAGGCAAGAAAAACATTAAAGCAGTTATGAAGTATGAAGGGAACAGAAAGTAAGTCTTGTTTTTAATTCATATAACTCACGATGAAGTTTCTGAGATTAATTAATTATCATTCTTATTAATATTTTGTATTATTATTGATATGCTCATATTCACTCTTCTTGGGAATACTGCATACAATTTAAAATACATTTGTGCACGCTTTTTTAGCAACTTAAATTTAATTCACCCAGTTAAATGTCTGTCTGTCTACCTATCTATCTATCTATCTATCTATCTGATGATAGCTTGGTGTATATTAATATGGTCTGTTTGTCATGTCTGTATTTTGTCTGAGGACATCGATTAGGCCGTGAAAGTGTCCCTTTTCGTTTTCCAATGTTTCTCTTACCTTTAATCTCCACCAGCTAATCTTTGAATGTGAATATTATCCAAACAACTTGCTGTTGAACAAACAGTAGTGCGATATACTATAAAGCCGTTACCTCACCTTCCCGCGTCTTGTCACACACGTGTCACGTGACGAGCTCGTCTGTGATTGTCCTGGTAACGGTAACCTGGTAACGAGCGCGAGGATAAAAGAGCAACAGCACGCACAGGTATGTTTACTTCACGGAGGGGCGACAGGTAACGGACGAACCGTTTTATTAAGTATTAACAGACATTAAATCAGGCAAAAACATGTATAATATCAGTAGTTGTTACTTCATGATTCAAAGACCCATCAATTGCGCATTTAAATGACGCTATTAAGATAAATAAAAAGGTAAATAAAAGTTGATATCCTTACGAAAATTAGCCATGGTTTTAATGTAGTAATAGTGTAGTAACCATGTTTTTTCGGCAGATTGATTACCATTTGTATAACCACAGTTTTACTACAAATGCCATGGTTTAACTATGGTTACTTTAGCAAAACCATGGTTCATTGTGGTTACCATGTTTTTTTTTGTAAAACCATGGTTAATTTTCAAGGGGATGAAATCTTTAGCCTGACATTGTGAATGTTTTATCTGCAGGTTGGTGTTAATGTGACTTCAGTCAGAGACTGTACTGGAAAATGTTTGTTAAATATCAAACTAATTCTTGGTATTTAAAATAAGACAATGCGTCAACCATACATTTGTCATGGTGTGTTTGTGCAGTGGTGTATTGTGTTGGGTTATAGTCAGAGTTACAGATGGTTGGACCCTTGGGTGCCGTCAAGCCTTCGCATGGGACGGACAGACCAGAGGGGCGTCCCACTAACACTGGCCTCGACCAATACTGCACCTCCTTCAGACAGTCTTATGGTGATTACACACAACACAGCAACTTTAGATTCAGTCTAACTATACTTTCATATGATTATGGACATTGGCCTGTTTATACTGCTTCAGAAGATTATATCAGGTCACATTTTTCCAATTTGAAACAATAGACTTTTTCTCTGCCATATTTTGAAATTTAAACAGCCATCCATCTTTTCTACCGCACATGATAATGTTTTGATTCCTTACTTGAAACAACTCTAGATCGGAGCAAGAATAGTTCAAGTAAATTTGTATTATTATTTTCCTCACTTTTACGTTGTTACAGACTTGTATGTTGTTTTTTGTGGAACACAAAAAGATGATTTTATATTTTTTTAATTTTTTGTCGTAAACATCAAACCTGGACCAAGTGAATAATTAAATCAGTGAATATAAATAATGTACAGGTGAAACTCGAAAAAATTTAATATTGTGCAAAAGTTTGTTTATTTCAGTAATTCAACTTAAAAGGTGAACTAATATATTATATAGACTCATTACATGCAAAGTGAGATATGTCAAGCCTTTATTTGTTATAATTTTAATGATTATGGCTTACAGATATGAAAACCTTTTCACAATATTCTAATTTTAAATTTGGTGTTTTCATATCTGTAAGCCATAATCATCAAAATTAACAAATAAAGGCTTGAAATTTCTCACTTTGCATGTCATGAGTCTATATAACATATTAGTTCACCTTTTAAGTTGAATTACTGAAATAAATGAACTTTTGCACAATATTCAAATTTTTACGAGTTTCACCTGTATATGTCATTCAGATTACTTTTATGATACATATATGGCATAAAAATCTCTGATTCTTCAAAACTTCTACATTTGTATTCTACAGGAAAATAACAGCATACAGGTTTGACACGACATGGGTGAGAAAATAAAAACTTTTGGTGACCTATATTATACCTTAATTAAAAAAAGAAACTCTAGTGTAGATTAGACATATCAGTTATAAAAATAATTATTGGCCAAAATATCTATATCGGTGCATACTTAGGGCATGTTTAAACGACAACAATGTATTAATGACCGAAAAGTTTTTCCTTTGTGTTTTTTGCGAAATAAAAACGATCCCCGTTCACGCAATTAAAAACGCTGTATTATTCATGCCAGGCCAGTAGGTGGCGATGTCACTTTGTAAAGAAACACTTTCGCCGCCTATAGACTGAACACGTAATGACGTAACTGTTGTGACAAATTCTCGTTTTTGTAGTTAAACCTACAATAACGGTATCGCTTTCGAAAATTGCACTTTGAAACCCTTTTTCAAAAGTTTGCGTTTTTAGGCCCTCAAAATGCTGTTGTCGTGTTAATAAACGGCCAAAACGCATATAAAGATTTTCCGTTTTTAGTTGAAAACGGTGTCGTGTAAACCCATTAGTTCCACTGTAGATATCCTGTAAGATTTATTTGTGCTGTAGAATACAAGATGTTGAATCTGTCGTGAGTCGTGTCCTCTTTTATCCAGGTAAGGAGTTATTCCAGCCATGTCTAGGCCATCATTTTGGGACAGGTTACTCTGCCAACCACCGTCCTGCTCTGTACTACAGCTCCAGCCTGGACCGCTATGATAATCCACAGTTTGGGTATGGCCCAGATTGTGTGTGTGTGTGTGTGTGCGTGCGCGCGCGAAATTGCACATACACTCCAAAACCTTTTTGCACCTCACTAAATAATTTTTAGACAAACACTTTTTGCCTTTTTCTTCTCTTAGTCTCTCACTGTTGGACAGTTTTGAGTCTCAATCGAAGCGTCATTACCAGCGTCTGGCTCTGCCCGACGGGACGGACTCTTTGGCCTGCTCGGGGTCCAGAAGCAGAGAGAGTGGATATTTGCAGCTCCAAACTCAGCCAAAAGCTGTAAGAGCCAAAGACACACACATAGAAACGCAGCAGGTTTCAAGGGCACCGTGCCATGTCACTTCACCCTGGCCTCAATGTTCTTTGACTTTCTCTCTCTCTCTCACAGAGAGCAGCGTCCCGTCAGACTGAATATAAAGGCACTTACAATCCTCACCGCCTCAGAGTTTTGGGTATGTAGTGTGGTTTTAAAAAATGTGTTTCTTAACTTGGTTCTTTGTAGATTCAAAGTTCTTGATGTTGCATTCTAGGTGTTTCAGACCACTGTGTTTGTGTTTTAGTTGGACCCATAGAAGAGAGTGGATACACTGAGGGAACCAATCTACAGCCGAACACCTTCCTCCCTCAACAGATTAACATGGTGTGTGTGTGTGTGTCAGTTCATCATTCTGTTGGCAAAGTCATTGTCAAGACGTTTTTTTTAACAGCACATCCATAATTCCTAATGTTGAATTCATGAGAGTCACATAATCAAATCCTTTTTCCATTGTTATACTCACTCTCTGCTTTGATTGGGTGATGATGGTTGTCAGGACGACGCTCGCAGGATACAGGAAAGTGTGACGAGGACAGACTTCCTGCCCCGATCTTTCCTACAGGTGGTCTCTCTGTTTCTCTCATTCTCTGCTATTACTCTCTCCATCAACATCATCACATTCATTTGATTTTTATAGGTTGCGTCAGCTGAATAGGTTTGCCTATTTAATATGTATGTGTGTGTGTGTGTGTGTACCAGGGCAGTGAAGCATTACCAAAACTTGCCTCCCGTGCACTTCGAGAAACTGGATATACAAGAGACACCCAGAGACCTCTGACCGGTTCAGTGAGTACCTATCTTTCCCTCTTTGGATAAACTATTCTATTAAGACAACATCAAGTTCTCTGACCAGGAGGGTTTTTTGGATGTTGTGCCCACAGGTCTCTCTGCAGGGTGGCTTTAGTGAGGACAGCACACAGAAGACTAGACCTGCTCTAACTAGATTGTCCATTGGGCCGATGGTAAATAAAACTTATATATTTTGCCCTCTAGATTTGTTTGGCTATGACTGTTAGTGGATTTAAATGAACAACCAATGTACTTTTTAAATGAATAACCTTTGAAAGGAATAGTTCACCCAAGAAATGTCAATTCTGTCATCATTTACTCACACTTGTTTCAAACCCATATTACTTCCTTTCGATCTTTTCCTCCTCTGCAGCTTCATATTTGAGTACATTCATATATACCACATCAGGTCACGTCACCAAACAACTTGTGTTATGCAGGGCTCTGACAGTCATGGGAAACCTGGAAATATCAGGGAATCTCAAAATTGGAATCATGGAAAGTTTCATCTATTGGCAATAAACATTTCTAGTCATGTTCATTTTGAATGACTGGAAATGTCATGGTGAATGTAAACATTCTGTCTAACATATGAGGAAAGAAAGTCATATACTGTAGGTTTGGGATGACAGGAAAGTGATGAAAATCTGTAAATGATGTTATGGGATGCACTGTTCCTTTATATTACACTGTCAATTAATTTGTCTTACAAAAAGTAACAAAGATTGAGCAAAATGTGTTCTCCTTAGAAAAGCTATTTGGAAGTCCGTTTTGTGCCAGTTCCGATTTAATGTCACAAAAGCATTCAACGATAACACGTCTCACCTCAACAACAACAGTCATCCACTCAAAAGATGACTGGAAATCGAATATATTTTGGTGTGCTGCTGCTGCTTTGAGAGGGATTTCTACAATGGTTTTGTGTACTGTCTGTTCTGTATTCTACAGGGCTCATCAGGATTCGTCCTGAACGCCCCCAACATCACAAGCCTCTCACATGCACCAGCCGACCCGCAACACTTCCTCACACACTACCAAAGCAAGTGAGTCATGTCTGTCTCTGTGTGTGTTCCTGGTACTTGACTGGCAAAACTGATTGCTCATTTATTTAAACTGACTGTCTGTGCCCTGTAGACAGGGACAACTACTGCATGAAATTATGAAGCATTCTTTCAAATCAGAGGGTTGAGTTTGCTCTGATTGGTTGCTGGTGGAATGAGTGTGTTCTGATTGGTTGCTGGGGGAATGAATGTGTTCTGATTGGTTGCTGAGGGAATGAGTTTGTTCTGATTGGTTGCTCGGGGAATGAGTGTATTCTGATTGGATGCAGAGGGGATGAGTGTTTCCTGGTTGTTTTAAAAATAGTTTCTTTTTATCCTTATAAATGTTGCAGGTTTTGTGACAAATCATTTGTGGGGCAGCAGAGATCAGACTGGATGAGAGGAGGCATACAGAGACACAGAGAGAGCGGATACAGTGGACGAGACACGGATAGGTACACACATCAACACATGTACATCTGTCATTCATGTACAGCTGAACACTTGTTAATAACATCCTCTGTCTCCCTCTTTCACACAGGTATAATCTCAGTGGATATAATGTCCTGCCTTCACAATAAATCTGAAATATTGATTTAAACGAAATACTGTCAATTTTAGCCTGATCATTTCTACTTGACATATTCAGACAAAATTATATTACTTATATTTAGAGATGTTTGTAAGCATCATTAAAACTATTGATCATACTTAGGGTTAGTGATTTGAAAAAAAAAAACTCTAACTCTAAGAATTAAACGTAGACGTAGTGACTATCAAAACACTGAGGAGATTATTTTAGCAATCAAATTTTTAAAAAATTCCCTGGAAGACAATAAAACATTGAAAAGGGGCTCCACGTTTGATTGGACCTATAAGCAGAAACCACATAGAACACGAGCAACCGCATAGCAACATGCTAAAAAACACTCTTAACCCTTAAAGGATTAGTTCACTTTTAAAAAAACTTTTGCTGATAATTTACTCACCCCCATGTCATCCAAGATGTCCATGTCTTTCTTTCTTCAGTCGAAAAGAAATTAAGGTTTTTGATGAAAACATTCCAGGATTTTTCTCCATATAATGCACTTTGCTGGGCACCAAACGGTTCAAGGTCCAAATCAGTGCAAACTGCAAACTGTTCAAATGGCTTTAAACGATTCCAGACGATGAATAAGGGTCTTATCAAGCGAAACGATCGCTCATTTAAAAAAGAAATAACAAAGTTTAAGTTTTATAAGCTCAAATGCTCGCCTTGCTCTGTTCTGTGATGCACGTTCGTGACTCTCCTGTTCGAACTCGTTCATCAAAATGAACAAATCTTTTTTCGAGTCATTTCGTTCATTTAACGAACGAAATGAACGAATTGACTCGGAAAAAGATTCGTTCATTTTGATGAACGAGTTCGAACAGGAGAGTCACACAGAACAGAGCAAGGCGAGCATTTGAGCTTGTAAAACTTAAACTTTGTTATTTCTTTTTTAAATGAGCGATCGTTTCGCTTGATAAGACCCTTATTCATCGTCTGGAATCGTTTAAAGCCATTTGAACAGTTTGCAGTTTGCACTGAAACTGTCTTTTGGACCTTGAACCGTTTGGTGCCCAGCAAAGTGCATTATATGGAGAAAAATCCTGGAATGTTTTCATCAAAAACCTTAATTTCTTTTCGACTGAAGAAAGAAAGACATGGACATCTTGGATGACATGGGGGTGAGTAAATTATCAGCAAAAGTTTTTTTAAAAGTGAACTAATCCTTTAAAAACTGCATAGCAGCACATTTTGGATACACACTGTTTTAGAATGCATTGAGCCGTGAATAATTCAAATCAGCAATAATTTTGACAGCAAGTCATTTAAATAGTGATGAGCAACAAAATTATTTTTGCGAGACTGAATGCAAGAACAGGAATGTTTGTCATATGCAAAAACCTGGTCAGCAGATTGAGATGGATACACCCGATACACACATGTACTGTACGCACGACTTATGTACACAAGCCCTTAGCCATGGTGAGAGAGGAGTGGCACCAACTGAAAGCTCAGTAGCTGGCATATGGGCACAGTTATGGTCCCCGCTCAGGTTGTTGTTTGCATGTGTGTAAGCTTCTCTCTCTCATCTCAGGGCCAATGTTCACTCTCCCACGCAGGCAGATCGTACATTATCCTTTAATAATCCTCATGAGAAAGGGAGAACAGGGATTGGTCTTTTTTTTTTTTTTTTGGCTGTGCTTAATGTTAAAATTGAAGAGTGACTAAAGTGGTTGTAAGTTGTTTGACGGTTGCTGATGTGTTGCTATTGCGATGGGCAGCAAATTGAGAAGTTTGAGCATTAGTAGTCAATTAAATTCGTTTATACTTCAGTTTAGTGATTTGAACAAACTGCTAAATATTAGTATTAAACACTAATTGACATTTGCTGCACCATTTGCATGGTAGAAAATAAAATGGTTTGGGGAAGAAAACTCATATCTAGAGACCAAATTATCATAGACTTCAAGGTGGGCCATTAAGCAACCACGTATAACACCTTAGCAATGCAGTAACAACTACATAGCAACACCCTAGCAACCACCCAGAACATTCACGCAATAAGCGCACACATTTTCTTAAGTAAATCTGAAAATCTAGTTCTCACACTGTGGTTTTCTAGCCTTGCAACTCCACTTTTAATAGCTTACAGTGCAAAACCCACCAACTGGCATGTAGAACTTGCAAACATGCCCTACTTAGGAGCAAAATCCTACTCGCTGGACCATGATGGCCCCTCCTCTCATGTGCTAACACGCTGTCACAATGGCTCGGATTACATTTCAGACACAGGATGACTTCTGCTGAGATCTGGCAGTGACAGAGAGATTACTGTGAGTGCCTGTAACAAGGGTATGAAGTTTCAAGCGCCGCAGAGGCAGTCCGGTGCTCATTCACGGCTTGCTATGCGGCTGACCTTGGGAGAATGGCGTTAACGTAAACTAGCAGTAAGCCACTAAATGATTAAGCACAGAGACTATGTTCTCCTCCTCGGGTCTGGACTGTGTCAGAGCTCTCCGCTGCTCCACAGATACTCGATACTTGGCGCCTGAGAATCCAGGACTAACGGCAATGCCAAAATCTCTGAGCCAGACTTACAGTATGCCTTTAAAGATGTCATATAATATGAAATCAAATCTTTTGAGATGAGAGATTATTAGACATCTTCTGTGCTATTGTTCATTTTTTGTTTTAGTTTTTTTGTCTGCCAAGCAACTTTGAGGTATCATGCATGTTCGTAACACAAACATAGAAGCATGAGTTAAGCAAAAAAGTCTTTCGATTAAGGGTTTGTTCGAATCACCAACCCAAAGTTTGAGAAATTGTAATCCGCTGACATTGGATCTGTTTCCGGGACCAAATGCTCTACCAAATGCCGAAAGCAAATAACAAACAGTTCTAATGTTAATGTACATTCAGTAATACTACTGAAAAATAATGATCCTAACTTTTATCTCTATACTGAAATCTCAGATGGCCATATTTATGAATCATTAAAATATTGGTGTCTGGGACGCCGTGAGCCTGGGGACGTAGTGTAAAGTGTGAATTTCTTAAAAGCTAGTGTGTGATATGAATACATAGTGCTCATAAATGGCTGTTGAAATAGTATTCTCAATTGTTATAAGTAGAGGCTTGAACTAAACAAACGGATACCGATAGTCATTCTTTGTTAGTAGACACCTCATATGGTAAGTTTTAACGAAAGGCAGAGCCTTTTAACCTTGAAGTACCAAAATTGCAACACTTCAGCAACCGTCGAATCACTTTTTGATCAATTGTTCAATGTCTTCCACAGTTGAAAGAGATTTACCTGCCATAGTCAACTCAACACAACCCATCCCGTCAAATGGTTTAGCTGTCTTTGAAACAGCCAAGTTTCACTTTGCAAAGACATTCCTTTATTTTGATCTGCCAGCCTCGAGTCCTTTTGCCTTGCTCAAAGTATATAACTCACATCTGAGATCTCACAATAAAATACTGTAGAGGTATTTTGTTGGCCGATTTGAATAAAAGGTTTTTTTGCGAATTGAAAACTGTTTTTTTTAAGACACCTAAGCCATGCACATTTGCTCATACGTGATGGGTTGTGTTGATTCTGGAGTGGAGATCTGGGCGGAGACACGTTTCTCTCCACTTCCTGTCACAGGTTGTGCCAAAACACTTGTTTCAGTTTCTTCGCAGCAATAATGACAGCCTCATAGCGTTACGTAAATATTTTAACAGATGGGATACGACACTCTTTCAGGGAGAGATGAGAAGTGACAGGAGATGGAGAGAGAGTTTAAACAGCACGATGATGGATGAAGGAAGAAAAGGGGAAGGAGGAGGAAAGAGCAATGAAAACACACTTCTTGACTAGAATAAGAGAGTTGGCAGATGTGACTGAAATAGAATATCGGAGGGAAAGAATGAACAAATGAGGAACATGCAAATTAGTGGGCCGTGATTTCTACAGATGACCTCTATATTTCAAAACATTTATTTCTTCTTTCTCACTTGCGTGTTTTGGAACAAAGATTCTTGAGAAAGTATGGCTTTCTTCCATAGAGCACAAAAGGTGAATGAATTTTTAAGAATTTAAACAGCAGTTTTGTGTGGTTGTTATTAATCAATATAATCACTAAAACTGTCTACATCTTCTTGCAGTGAAGAGACCTTCTTTGATTATGGTTGGAGCGATCTACTTTGCTTTGCATTGTCACACAGCTCGCTTGCAGTGTTAATTTGGTGTTAAACACTATTTTCATTTTTATACCATCACCCAACCCACAAACCTGCTGGATCTGTTACAGTCTTTGTTCTGGGACCTCATCATTTACACATTAAGTGCTGCTCTCTCTCAGTCTTTCTCCCAAAACATCACTGACTAACGACCCAGGCCTTTTATGGAGCGCACCCCCACTACTATCCTGTCCCTGATGTTCCTCTTCTGTCTGCACGCCTCCTCTGACTTTCGCACATCGAGTCCTTCAAGAACGTTTACTTCTACTAGTGCTAGCTTGGCTAGCTCTTCCCATCTGTCTCAGATCATGTCAGCTCTGCTCCACAGCCAGACAGCTAGGAATCTTAGTGGAAACTCACTAAATTCAGAAAACAAAAAGTTAAAACTATTAATTTGCTTTTTTTTAGCTCATATGTTTTTTTAGTAAAAATAGACGTAGTTAAATTTTGTTATTAATCACAATTTCATTTTGTGAAAATCCTCCCTAATTTGGAAAACATTCCTTGTTTAATTTTAACTAGATTTTTACTTTGTTTTAGTGTTGACATTGAACATTTGAATCTACAGTATTTTGGAAAAATCAAGTATTGTCATATATACAGTATATTGGAAAAAGTATAGCTTTATTGCCCAGTCCTAGTCATCAGAGTCCGACTAGACATGAATCATTGAAACGTGTTTGACAAACTCATTGGTTATTTAATAAGAGAATATTTGGTTTCACCAACACACATCGCTGCAATCGCAGCATCAAGTTTCTTATAAACAGTACACTCGTGTCAGGGTAGAGTTCCAGACACACTTACACACACTCGCAAAGAAAAATATCTTGAGTCCTGCTCTTAATTAGAAATACACAGCACACAGTAATGTAGTTTTGACGCAAGTTGTGCAGTTTCACAGGTCTTCACAGTTGATTTTTTACAAATCACAAGTCTTAAACCCTGTAATTATTGAAGAGAGTCCTGTGTTTGAGGATTTCAGCAATTATCTGGCCAACAATAATGCCTTCTAATAATAGCAACACTCACTTATACTTGTGTGGAAAAACTGTTGCGTATTTGCAAAAAGTTAATTCATGGGGTCTTAAGTGAAGCTATATTTAGCTGTATTTGAGAAACTGTGTTACTGATACACTGCCAAATTGAGAGGAAGTGAAATATCCTCTTTTGTTTTCTCAAAGAAAGAAAGTCATGCAGGTTTTGCATTTTTGGATGAACTTTTAAAACTCAACCTATCCTTCTACTTTCCAATCAATTACATCAATGTAATGTTTATGTTAATGTTAGCAGATGCTTTTTATTAGAGTGACTTGCAGTCGCTTTCTTAACCCCATAAAGCATTCTGGGGTATCTTAAGTGCCATTATCAGGTCCCCAATTAGTTCCTCTCCAGTTCATCCTCGGGATTGAACCTGCAACCCTTGCAATAATACTTCAGATGAGTAAAGTGTGAGGCATCTTCACCACAGAATTGCAAAAACTGGCTGCTGAAACAAACTGCATTTCTGTTTGTAGACACACTTCAGCTTTAATAAGTAGACTACCATGACCCATAGAAAAGGTGCAAGTATCAATTTTGTTCTTGCTCCTCCTCTTCATATTCATAATCCATTTCGCCTCTCTCATACTCCAACTCCGCCCCCTCGTAGCCTTCATACCCCTCCCCCTCGTAGATTAGCTCCTCCCTTTCATACTCCAATCCGTCATCGTCATACCCAAGCTCTGCCTCATGAAACGCCACACTTTGTCTCTCAGGCTCCGCCCCTTTCTCGTTATCTAGTCCATCCTCATCCGCTGTTGTTGATGGAACCGACCCATTTGTTTCTTTCTCCTTAGTAACTGTCAAGTTTAGGGCGGAGCTCATTCTGAGTTTCTTGAGTATCCCGTGAATGACTGGATTAGCAGCCGCCTCCGCAGCGGCCGCCGCCTCCTCTGCTTCCTTCTCGGCACGCTCTTTTGCCTCTTTCCTTCTCTCTCTAGCCTGCAAGACCTCCTCAGCCCCCTCCCCGACAATTAGCACCTCCTTCCCTACACGTGGAGGCTCCTTCACAGGGTTGTGGTCGTAGGAGAAGAGCCGCAGCGCAGGAAGATGATGCAAGTTTGGGAACTCTGTAATCTTATTGCGGTCCATGTCCAGAATCTCCAGCTGCTCCATTTTGAGGAGCACTCGCGGAAACTCGGAAAAGCGGTTTCCATACAACCAGAGTCCTCTCAGGGCCTCCATACGACATAGGTCCGAGGGAAGGGTGCGCATACGGTTGTCCCCAATCTGCAGGGAGCGTAGATTGGGAAGGTCGTACAACTGCTTGGGGAATTGCTGGAAGTAGTTGCTCTCCACCCAGAGGCAACGCAAGCTCTGCAAGTTCCTCACTTCCGGCGGGAGGCTCATCAGCCGGTTGCTTCCCAGGTAAAGACACGTGAGATTGGTCAGCTTGCACACAGAGAGGGGAACGTCTTCAATCTTATTGAAGTCTAGTGCCAGGGTTCGCAAACCCTGCAGCCGCGTGATGCGCTTAGGGACGTCGCGGAGACGGTTTCCACAGACGTAGAGCTTCTCCAGGTACTCCAGATCCAGGACTTGACGAGGAAGTCGACGAAACTTGTAGTAGCTCAAGTCCAAAACGGGATCTCCGCTCGCCAAGAGCTCATCGACTCCGAGAGGCAGCTCCTCGTCCTCCACGACCTCCTCTTCTTCCTCCTCCTCCTCTTCTTCATCTCCATTCTCTTTAACCTTCTTCTCCTTTTCCTCTCCTCCTTCGTCCTCGGGCTCTTTTCGGGACGAGTTGCCCATACCCTCAGCCGGCTAGCCCGGCGTTTGTCCGTGTGTGTGGTGGTGAGAGTGTGTTTCAGGACGGGGTAAGAGGGTGAGGCGGTCTGTGGGGCTGGCCCCCCCTCCCCGTGTCAGTTTCACTCAGTAGGATTGACCCGGCAGTGACAGAGCCAGCACAGCGACACATGGTGCTCTGACTACAGGCGGCTTCCCCTCAGTCCCTGTACAATGAGCTCCAACGTCAGCAAACACGGCAGTGACACCAGCAAGGAGGCATTCTGAGTGTGTGTGTGTGTGTGTGGATTGCTTCAAATATTTTATAATTAGGCTACATGCTATAAAACAGATTATGATAGTAATAGTAGTAGTAGTAGTTGTAAAAAATAAGTATAACTGTGAGAGGAATAAAGCTTAATTTTGTCTCTGTAATGTGAACTCAAAGTTTATAGAGTGTCAAAGTATAGCTGCCAATATTACGTCCCGTTTTCATAGTTAATTGTTCATTTATTTATTTATTTTAAAATATATTGTTTGTTAAAAGCATTAAATGACTCACATTACAGTCACAAACTTTCAATTTCAGTCTGTCAGTTTTGATTGTGTGAAGGCTGATGCTGAGCTTCTCTCTGCCGACACACGCAGCTCTTGTCCCGGCCACCCGGTCTGTGGATCCCGGTCTCGTTCACTCGCTGATGTGACCTGGCCGGCGGCAATGTGAACCGAACCGATGATGTCCAACTGTATCTCCGGTTTGCGTGGTCCTAAATCAGACAAAAATCCTCTGGGAGATGTCAAGATGATTAAAGTTTCCAGAAGCGCTAGACTCGATTTCTGTAGCCTATTTCTATCCAACGATCAAAAGCCGTCTCGCGTTTCTTCCTCTCTCTCTCTCTCTCTCTCTCTCTCTCTCTCTCTCTCTCTCTCTCTCTCTCTCTCTCTCTCTCTCTTTCTCTCTCTCTCTCTCTCTCTCTCTCTCTCTCTCTCTCTATCTGTGTGTGTGTGTCTGTGTGTGTTGAGCTCAACGTAAAGCGTTGCCATGAACCGTCTCTCTCTCCCCTAGCAACCAAAACAGGGACATGCGAGTTACACACGATTGTCACGTGTTCCGGGGGGGACAGAGAGACGGTCAAATTCCTCTCTTCCAAGTTCACGTTATGCAATACAGAAACGTATTTATTAAATATATTTTTTAAATGTATAAAATATTTATTAAATACATTTATTAATAGCCTATATTAAACATTCGTATATTTATTGTAAAATAAAACGTGATTGGAATTTTTTTTATTATAAATTATTGAAAGATTTAAAACTAACTAAACTAACTAGCCTGCATTAATAGAGAAACGTATTTATTAAATATATTTTTTAAATGTATATAATATTTATTAAATACATTTATTTATAGCCTATATTAAACATACGTATATTTATTGTAAAATAAAACGTGATTGGAATTTTTTTATTATAAATTATTGAAAGGTTTAAACTAACTAGCCTGCATTAACAGAGAAACGTATTTATTAAATATATTTTTTAAATGTATAAAATATTTATTAAATACATTTATTAATAGCCTATATTGAACATTCGTATATTTATTGTAAAATAAAACGTGATTGGAATTTTTTTGTTATAAATTATTGAAAGGTTTAAACTAACTAGCCTGCATTAATATTTAAAATATTAATAAAAATATTAAAATACATATTTATAAATATCTTACCTATGTTACGTACATGTAAGCATAAATTAAATGTGAATAAAAAAAAATAAAAAAAAATGTAAAAGCATAAGTAGGCTATTAAGGAAATATATTAGAATGATTGGAAGTAAAACAAATAAAAGTCAAAGAAAATCCTCCGTGGAGAGAAAGGAAAACTAGTGTAATTTTAAAAAACTGTTGGTGTCAGCAAATCAACCGAAACACATTTCTGTGCTCCTGAGGACGTGCATAATTGCATAATATCTTCACAAAATTAAATAAAGAAAGAAAGAAATCACAGTGAGGACAGAACTAAGCTGAACAAACTGCTAATTTTAGTGAGATGATTCACTCTCAGCTGTTCTTCTCTGAAATGAACATTCAAAACTACAGGATATTTGAATGAAGTCCATAGACCGGCTTGTACTGTTCATGTCATACATAGGCAAAATTGAATATAGGCTACTATACTATGAACTATTGATCTGTAAAGCATTACATAATGTTATTGGCTTATTGATTAAGTTATTATGAAGTCTCACCAAAATTCCTATTAGTACAGAGTACATTTATAGAGTATAACGTCTTCAACTCATTATTTGTGGTGTTGCACACACTGATAAGTGTCTGAATGATCACTCTATGCCCTATATAGGTGTTTTTCTGCTGAAGTGTTGATGTAATGCATCAAAGTTCAGCCTTGATGTTCCACGGTGTCAGAGCAGCACAACCCCCTGGTGGCCACTTCATGCCATAGACCCTGTGAACCTGAGGGTGAGGGTTGGTATTCATCTGGTATAGATCAGTCATTATTTTGATTTATAATGCGTGAGAGGCTTTAAGCCTCATTTGAATTTTCCTAAATCCTTTTCTAATTAATGCACATATTGCACACCCATATATTTTCAATTATTCAGTTATGAAATGGTCAATTTTTGTCATCATTACAGTCACGAAATCAAATCGGACAGTTCTTGTGTTTTTATGGAATATTGTATTTATTCTAAATGATTTATCTGTGCACATCATTATTATTTTTTTAATTCATGTGTCCTCATGGCCTAACTTAAGCTTCCTCTTCATCTCTTCTCTGATGATGAAGTGTTTACTGGCACGAATGCGGGACAAACTGTCACTCAAATGAATCTGACCAATAGCAAACCACAACCATCAAACCATCCAATCAATTCCCGATGGACAAAATCAAGTCCCGCCTTACATTTGTTCTTGTTCGAGAAGCCGTTTCACTTGGATATACGCGACAATGGAGAAGAAAAGACTATCACAACTTCCGTGCATGCCGACTTTAAACACTGGTATTTTAATAATCGGGGGGACTTCGCAAGGTTCAGTTTTTTGTAAAGTTAATCCACTTTATTTAGTCATGTTTTGATTACACAAGCTTTCTTTTGTGAACAGAGGACAATGTAAATTTTGGACAACAGTGATTTCCATGCACACTCATCATCAACTGATTTATCCATCCTTTGGAAGTTGTGTTTTGCTTCTCCAAGACACTTTCATGTAAACTAATCAAAACGTTTGATTCAGTATTTAATGTTTGAAGTGGATAAACACATCCTAAAAGCAAGGATCAAATGTCTGCATAACTTTATGAATGAAGGCCAGCCATTACAACTGTTTTCTGCATGATTGCATTTAGGAACAACAATGTCTAAACCACGTTCTAGAAATTAGAAAGAAGTCCTTAATCGAGAGACAGTGACATAGATCCGGCCCACATCTGGTACTGTACGTGTGGAATCCACATGTACCAGATGTGGGCCGGATCTGGGCCGACACTATGTTGCTGTCTGGGATTAGGATTACTACGGGTGTGTCACCTAATTAGAATGCATAATCCAAATTTATAAGGTTTATAATGTGTCCTGCCCGGACAACCATGATGTAGGCCAAAGGTTTTGGCATATTTGAGCACATTCTTTGTTTGTTCTGGGTATTTTTTGCCTCTTTGTAAGGTTTTTGTTTTTGCCTACTGGTTCCTCTCATTGAATTTTAAAATGTATTTTCTGTGACTTTTTTTCCTTAAATACTGTTAATGTATTGTTAAAACCTGTTACCTCTTTTAAATAAATTGCAAACAATGTACTGTACCATAATCTATTTTGTCCTTTTTTTTCCATTGAGTGACAATTTTTGACTCTGTGAAATTACAGCACAGCCGTAAAATTAAAAACTGTAAAATTACGGTAAAGGGCCGGAACCACAGCTGCCAGTACTTTACTGTGAAATTACTGCATTGTTGAAACCGTAAAATTACGGTAAAGCGCTGGAACCACAGCTGCCAGTCCTTTACTGTGAAATTACAGCATTGTTGAAACTGTAAAATTACGGTAAAGCGCTGGAACCACAGCTGCCAGTACTTTACTGTGAAATTACAGCATTGTTGAAACTGTAAAATTACGGTAAAGCGCTGGAACCACAGCTGCCAGTACTTTACTGTGAAATTACAGCATTGTTGAAACTGTAAAATTACGGTAAAGCGCTGGAACCACAGCTGCCAGTACTTTACTGTGAAATTACTGCATTGTTGAAACTGTAAAATTACGGTAAAGCGCTGGAACCACAGCTGCCAGTACTTTACTGTGAAATTACAGCATTGTTGAAACTGTAAAATTACGGTAAAGGGCTGGAACCACAGCTGCCAGTACTTTACTGTGAAATTACTGCATTGTTGAAACTGTAAAATTACGGTAAAGCGCTGGAACCACAGCTGCCAGTACTTTACTGTGAAATTACTGCATTGTTGAAACTGTAAAATTACGGTAAAGCGCTGGAACCACAGCTGCCAGTACTTTACTGTGAAATTACAGCATTGTTGAAACTGTAAAATTACGGTAAAGCGCTGGAACCACAGCTGCCAGTACTTTACTGTGAAATTACAGCATTGTTGAAACTGTAAAATTACGGTAAAGCGCTGGAACCACAGCTGCCAGTACTTTACTGTGAAATTACAGCATTGTTGAAACTGTAAAATTACGGTAAAGCGCTGGAACCACAGCTGCCAGTACTTTACTGTGAAATTACTGCATTGTTGAAACTGTAAAATTACGGTAAAGCGCTGGAACCACAGCTGCCAGTACTTTACTGTGAAATTACAGCATTGTTGAAACTGTAAAATTACGGTAAAGGGCTGGAACCACAGCTGCCAGTACTTTACTGTGAAATTACTGCATTGTTGAAACTGTAAAATTACGGTAAAGCGCTGGAACCACAGCTGCCAGTACTTTACTGTGAAATTACTGCATTGTTGAAACTGTAAAATTACGGTAAAGCGCTGGAACCACAGCTGCCAGTACTTTACTGTGAAATTACTGCATTGTTGAAACTGTAAAATTACGGTAAAGCGCTGGAACCACAGCTGCCAGTACTTTACTGTGAAATTACAGCATTGCTGAAACTGTAAAATTACAGCATTGCTGAAACTGTAAAATTACGGTAAAGCGCTGGAACCACAGCTGCCAGTACTTTACTGTGAAATTACTGCATTGTTGAAACTGTAAAATTACGGTAAAGCACTGGAACCACAGCTGCCAGTACTTTACTGTGAAATTACTGCATTGTTGAAACTGTAAAATTACGGTAAAGGGCTGGAACCACAGCTGCCAGTACTTTACTGTGAAATTACTGCATTGTTGAAACTGTAAAATTACGGTAAAGCGCTGGAACCATAGCTGCCAGTACTTTACTGTGAAATTACAGCATTGTTGAAACTGTAAATTACGGTAAAGGGCTGGAACCACAGCTGCCAGTACTTTACTGTGAAATTACTGCATTGTTGAAACTGTAAAATTACGGTAAAGCGCTGGAACCACAGCTGCCAGTACTTTACTGTGAAATTACTGCATTGTTGAAACTGTAAAATTACGGTAAAGCGCTGGAACCACAGCTGCCAGTACTTTACTGTGAAATTACTGCATTGTTGAAACTGTAAAATTACGGTAAAGCGCTGGAACCATAGCTGCCAGTACTTTACTGTGAAATTACAGCATTGTTGAAACTGTAAAATTACGGTAAAGGGCTGGAACCACAGCTGCCAGTACTTTACTGTGAAATTACTGCATTGTTGAAACTGTAAAATTACGGTAAAGCGCTGGAACCACAGCTGCCAGTACTTTACTGTGAAATTACTGCATTGTTGAAACTGTAAAATTACGGTAAAGCGCTGGAACCACAGCTGCCAGTACTTTACTGTGAAATTACTGCATTGTTGAAACTGTAAAATTACGGTAAAGCGCTGGAACCACAGCTGCCAGTACTTTACTGTGAAATTACTGCATTGTTGAAACTGTAAAATTACGGTAAAGCGCTGGAACCACAGCTGCCAGTACTTTACTGTGAAATTACTGCATTGTTGAAACTGTAAAATTACGGTAAAGCGCTGGAACCATAGCTGCCAGTACTTTACTGTGAAATTACAGCATTGTTGAAACTGTAAAATTACGGTAAAGGGCTGGAACCACAGCTGCCAGTACTTTACTGTGAAATTACTGCATTGTTGAAACTGTAAAATTACGGTAAAGCGCTGGAACCACAGCTGCCAGTACTTTACTGTGAAATTACTGCATTGTTGAAACTGTAAAATTACGGTAAAGCGCTGGAACCACAGCTGCCAGTTCTTTACTGTAAATATACGGGTGAATTTTTTACAGTGAACCTTTCAGGTCAAGATGACATCATGTATCGCCTGCATACAGTATACATTAGGCCTATATGTTTATTGAATGGATTGGGAATATTTAAATGTAAAGATACCCTAAACTACTTAAAATATTTTTTTACTGGTATATAGAGATTTTTCTTTATAATTTTGTTAAGGTCTGCCAAAATTTAGTGAAAGAAATTGTGAATTAAAGAGAAGGTAATGCTGCAGCTGCAAAATGTCCTTTTATGAGTATGCATTTAATTGAGCATTTATGAGCATCTAATTATCTTATCTTATTTTATCATGAGCATTATCAGAGAATAAATGCTTGACCATGAAGAATCTTTTCATAGATGTTAATAAAGCCATGATAGAAATGAAGGATGGTCAAATGCAGCTCTATAAACACAGGTTCAGAAGAAGTCTGTGGTGTTTTCTTTGCATGGAAAAGTCCAAAGTTCTTCTTTTTTTTCTCTCATTTGAAATGTTTTAACAGTCAGATCAGTCACCAATCTGTGCCTATTTACTCAAATAAACTAAAGGAGTCTTAACATGTAAAATGCTGGAAATTTACTGAATATGTATTGAGAATTCATATTGCAACAACTGACAGATGTAGTTGGTTTGGGGCATTAGAGGGCATTTTGGTGACTGTACAGTATATATTATTTTAAAACTGTATTCATAATTAACTGATACAGTCATGACAATCATGATGCTTTAATTTGAAATGATTTAAAGTTCATCAAAACTCCTCATGAGTTATTGCTATTAAAAATAGACAAAGCGTTATCCACACAGACAAAACCCTATTACAGGTCTTTTATTAATAGGCTATAGCAGAATATACATAATGTAACCTGTCTTTTTCTTTTTTTACAGTATTTTAGAGTAAAATGCAATATGTTTTATCTTGTTCAGTCCAAATTATGTCACTGTATTACACATTATTTGATGAGGTATTTGCTTTTTTACATTGTTATTGTTAAGCTAAGTAACTTATAAACAATTAACATGTTTTGAATGCAGAACTTTTACATTATATGTGTGTTAAAGTCTCTGGCATTGTCACAGCATGACTGCACTTTGCCGATGTGGGACTCGAACCTGAGTAACTCTTCTTTATCTCCAGGCTCTCCCCACCCTTCCAAAGTTCTCTCTCTCCTCCTATTGGCTGATGCTCCGCGAGACTGGCGCTGAGTCTGCGCGCTGATTGGCCGCTGGCGCTCGAATGATCTGTTCGGAATTCAGCAGAAGTACAAGTGATGAAAAAGTGATGCTTCTCATTCTCGTTCACACACAGACTAAATGAGTGTGTGATCCAAGTGCCTGCTGAGAAGGTGAGTAAATTATTAAATGTTTAAACTCGGTGTACTTTTTTTTTTTTTTTCTGCTCATGTAATATAACAACGGATGCTCATGAATTGACACCGCTAGTTCATCAAGGCCATTTATTTGAAGAGAAAGGATGATTTTGTGCAGCGTTCAGCGTGATATTTAACGGGTTATTCATTTGTAATGTCCTAGTTGGCGGTTCTGAAGAATCTAGAGTTGTTGTTGTTTTTGTAGTGCTTTCATTCCTGCTTGCTTTTTTTTTTTTTTGCATGTTACTTTGTCATGCAAAGTGGTAACAAAAAAAAAAGAAAAAAAGCGACGAACGCAAAATAAGGAAGTAATCAAAAATTGCTTTTGCTATGTGACGTGTATTTCTGCACGACCCTTCGGATGTATTATGCATAATAATGAGATTACGTGAGCATTCATTGTCTCATTCGGTTGCTTAAATTGTTCTTGAACTGACCAATGTATTAATAAAGGTAGAAGGTTACATCAAAAACATATTTTAACATTATTTTTTATGTTAAATCCAATATTGTTTTATATAGAATTGTTCTATAGTATAAACAGTATTGAATGCATTTGCATCAGAAGTAACTGTAATTAAATTGCTTAAAAAATTAGTAATCCCTTACTTTAATTTTTAAAGGGAAAAGCAATTAAATTACAGTAATTAATTATGTAGTAACACTGCCTGACAAAACATTTTACAGTGTGGATATCGAACGGTCATGAACAATGGGCTGTGTCTCATAACCCAGTGAGCTGCCTATCTAGACAGCTTTTCAGTTTCTGCAACAATGTAGACCTGACTAAATGTGGATTTTTTTGCATTAAATTGAGCAGAAGTGAACATTAAATGGCATTGTTGCATGTTTTGTCAAGTCAGTCGAATTGTTTTTAGACGGAGCACCTGCAGAAAGGTTCATATTAAACTGTTCTTTTTGGTTAAGGTGCTTGGTGTTACAGTGCACAGTAAGCAGTCAGAGTTTGATCAGCGATGGGCGGCGGAGGACAGCAGACGGACCGGATCACCGGGACCAATGGGAGGTTCAGCACTTACACCTGGGAGGAGGTACAGAAACACACCAAGTTTGGAGATCAGTGGGTCGTGGTTGAAAGGAAGGTTTATAATGTGAGCCAGTGGGTGAAGAGACACCCCGGAGGAGTGAGGATCCTCGGACACTATGCTGGAGAAGATGCGACGGTAAAACACTCAACATGAACATGTTTACATTTAAACACATGGAAGAACTCTTATATACACCAGATTTATAAAAAAAAAAAAAAAATGGCTGTGTCTCAACCTAGTGAGCTACCTACCTAGGCACCATTGACGTGCAGTGGTGTTCTGAAATGATGAGGCAAAGTCCTTATAGTATATATATATTATAGACATATACATCAAAAACATATATTTTAGCGTTAGATTTTGATGTTAAATCCACTATTGTTATATATAGAAGGTTGTATTGTAAGGCTGACGTAAATGTATTTATATAGCCTATATACAGTGCTTAGCATAAGTGAACACACCCATGCTAAAGTTGACTAAAAAAAGGAATAAAAAAAGCATCTTTTGAAAATTTATCTTAATGCCTTAATTTAAAAAATGAGGGAAAATCCAACCTTTAAGGACACCAATTTTCTTTGTGAATGAATTATGTATCGTAAATAAATAAATGTTCTTCCTTAAAATACAGGGGGGCGTAAGCCAGGACACCCCTATGTTAAATTCCCATAGAGGCAGGCAGATTTATATTTTTAAAGGCCAGTTATTTCATGGATCCAGGACACTATGGATCCTGATAAAGTTCCCTTGGCCTTTGGAATTAAAATAATTTTAATAATTAAGATCAGCTCTCAATGCAAATCAAACCAGCTATTAGGCTAACTGAAATAAAAACCATGCCAATCTCTAGGTATGGTGATTTTTTTGGTTGTTTATTTATTTATTTACGATACATAATTCATAAAGAAAATTGGTGTCCTTAAAGGTTGGATTTTCCCTCATTTTTTTTAATTAAGGCATTAAGATCAATTTCCAAAAGATGATTTTTTATTCCTCTTTTTAGTCAACTTTAGCATTGGTGTGTTCACTTATGCTAAGCACTGTATGTATTTATATATATTACAGTTAACTTAATGTTGTCAAATTTTCCTGGCTAAACAATTCTATTTTGTATTTTAACATTAACTATGTAATTAATCCTCTATTTATTAAAGAATAAATCTAAAGCATTTTTACATCTATTCCAAAAATAACAACCAAAGGCAGTAACGAAATTTAAACAATACATTTTATTTTCAAACTGATGTTTAGCTGTTCTTTTTAATAGTCAACTTATTTTGGCATCATTCGTCAGTCATTACAGCTCGGTAAACACCGGTCACTAGCTATGTTTCCATCACCCTGTTTTTAAGCGCATTTGGAAGTATCGCACCAGAAACGAGTGACGGGGGGGGAAAATCCCTTCATTCGCATAAACAGTTTTTACGCTCACTTGAGGTGGTTTTTGACTTGTGTGAAAAAGAGTTAATGCGAATAATGAGGGATGGAAACGCATTTGCCGACTAAATTCTGAGGTTACGAATACCACCGTCATCCGCAACTTGATGGAAACGCACCTAATTCACATTTGTTTTTTGGGGAACTTAGAAAAGATTCGCTTTACGTTTGGATGGAAACCCAGCTACAGACATGAAGATGTAACTTTCCCCAAGCTGATTGCTCTCTATGCTTCACGCCATTTCAGGGTTTTCTAACAGCGATCTAAGTTGCTGAGTTGCAACTTACTTACTTTTTAATTAGTCTTCCCATTAACGCCATAATGTTGTTCATTCAGACCAGTTCACGAACAAGGAACTGCAAAAATTCTGGATTACCACAAAACAATGATTGCCTAACTAGACAGCATTTCAAGCATGTGTTTAATGCCACATAATGCTGTCTATGTAGGAATCTCATTCAATTTTAAGAACCAGCCAAAGAGTTTCAGGAAACAATCTTCAAGCGTTTATTTGTTCTTGTGATGTTTTAATTGTTTCAGATAAGCTTCAAATAAAGATTGTTGAATATGTTTTATCTGATGTGATAGGAGGCGTTTACTGCATTTCATCCAGACCTTCCGCTGGTGAGAAAATACATGAAGCCGCTGTTAATCGGGGAGCTTGAAGCATCTGAACCCAGTCTAGACCGGCAGAAAAATGTGAGTATAGACACTTAACTAAAGATTCGAACTAACCTACACAGAAAAGATGAATACAACCTGTGAGCTTTCGGAGTAAAATATCGCCTTGACACCTTAGTCACTTAGAATATGAATTTCCATAATATATCTGGGTTTTGCATATTAATATTTATGATGAATTACTAGTAAGACATACAAATAAAGTGAGAAAATGTACATGGCCAGACCAGTTAATAATAATAATTAAGAACTTCAGGTGTGCCAAATCTAAAGTTGAAAAGTCAAGTTCAAATGAAATTCAAGAAGTGGAATTTACTAAATTACAATTCAAAGAACTGTATCAGGTCATTGCATTCTGGGAAACAAATGCATCTGTCTTCCTGTAAGACTCAGGGCTCGACAGTGCGAGCATTTCACTCGCATTTGCGACTAAAAATAGATGTGTGCCAACTGTAAAATGTATTTAGGTGGCGTGTGCGATTAAACATTTTTTTTTAACAGAAAAGATTTTTGAGGCAATGTTGCCTGTTGAAAATAATAATAATCACGTAATCCACACAAACGCGCCTTCTAGGGGCTGCTAACACCTGGCCACTTCATGCGTTTTCTGTGATCGGATAGCTTTCTGATCGTGAAAAGACCAGGTGTAAATGCATGTGAGAAGGATTTCAATCCGATCGCTCAAACCACATCAGGAGGAGGTCTGAGACGCAATCCAGACGAACCTGACAAGTGTAAATGCATTGGTAGTTGAAACCACATATGTAAATTTGACTCCTCCCAACAATGCTAAAAAATAAACGTGTGAGAGCGTGATATTGGCTATATTTCATGTTATATTAGCTAGATATAACGACGATACTGCAACACGCATAACCGCAGATGAGAATCTAAACTTTTCTGAGAAAAGTTACCGTCAAGTCCTGAGACTTATAAAACTTAAGACATTTATAGCTTTTTTTTTTTACACTTTAAAACCAGACTGTCAAACGATCTTTATAAGTATGAACTTCCCTTTTCTTAAAATAGTTTTTGCAGTTAAATGACATATTGCTTGTGATTTTCCACATTTGTAAGTCTCCTTAGATAACAGCATTTGCTCAGTGTTACAGTCATTCAAATTTTCATTGCATTTTAATTCAACTTCCTTTCATTCAAATTCTACGTCCTGTTTCCTACCTCAGTTCAAATTGAAAAATTTCCGCCATTGACGGAATCTTTCCAGCTTGCCTTGTTTTCACTGTTATACGGTAGGGGGCGCTATCACACATCTTCTGAAAGAGTACTGAATCTCCTGATCAAAACACAGGCGAAGAAGAAGCAGAAACAAGCGATATCCAAGGGGGTAATCCATCGACCGGAAGTTGAAGCCGGCCGGGTGCCGCCATCTTGTAGCAGAACTTCACTTGCGTTAGCATTTCCATTGACTCCCATTCATTTTGGCGTCACTTTGACAGCGAATATCTGAGGCGTTTAAAGACTCCATTTGTCCATTATTTATTTCTAAAGAAACACGACAATGTATAAAGGGCTCCAGTACCTTCTATGTTACATTATGGCCCCGTAGAAACAGTTTTTGTAAAAATAGGCTAACGATTGCGTCATAACCACTCGATTCTCTCTGTCGCGCTGTACAGAAATTACCGTACAGACAGGAGGAGAAGCTCACAGGCAATCGGGGGGACGTCCCGTCAAGGGAGAAGCCCATAGATAATGAGTCCATAAAAGCAACAGAATACTTACTCCTGCTCACTCACGATAAAGGACTCTTTGCTCAAGTTCCCCGTCTCTGCAAGATTAACGTTGGCAATTTTCACGCACAGCTACTAGAAGATTAACGTCTGTCAGACAGGTTGCTCACGTCATCAAGCGAGTCGGTTTGAGTCTGCGCGTCAGGAACGGAAGTGCTCAAAAATCGCTAAAAGTGGGCTTCAACTGTCTCAACTGAGTTCCAATGAGATGGCTCTGTCCATTTCTTTTACTGTCTATGGATAGAAGCATTGCTGACGCACACACACAATAACACGATTGTCAACATTAAACCGCATATAAATCAAAACTGCCTAATGATACTGAAAGAAATGTCCAGGACGAGCTCTAGGACTGTAAAGCTTTGGACGTGTTGATGAACTCAATCTGTGTTTTGATCATCGTTCTGAATCCCGTCCAGACGTGATTTTCTCAGCTTTTTGTTCAATTTTTTTTTTTTAATAAAACAAGTTTTTTTGTTTTTTTTAATGCAGAGGCTCTGTTCTTTCTTTTGATATATTGCATGTTCAGATATTCATACAACAAAACATTTTGGACTTTTGTAAAAACAATCAAAAATATTGGCTTTGACAGGCAACTTTTCTCAAAAACGCTGTCAGGGAAAGAGTTAAAAGGCATTCTCAAGTCAATACTGAACGTGCTACACAATAGGGATGTTTCCCGAAAAGACTCACACTACGAAGCCCCTAGAGGAACAAAAATATGAGATGGGAGGGATAAAAACTGTATATTTCAATGCTTTTGCATTCTCTTGCAATTATGTAGTACGATAATTATATTGTATACGATTTGTGGAGATCATGGAGCCGCTATGCTATCAATATGCGGGGTATTGAAATCGCTTTTAAATGCACACTCGCTTTTAACTTTCAAATTTGCAGTATATGGAGCGGCGGTACTGACCACACATTTTACAAGTTAACATATTTACGGACTGTAATGTAACTGACTGTATTATGGACTGTAATATAACTGAATACCACAGCAAGCATAACCATGTCCCCTTAGGGCCTCCGTAGAATGCGTTATTCATTTTCCGTGCCTTTCTGAATTCAGAATTGGGCTTTGGGCACATCCCAACTACACAATGTGTTTGATTCCAGTGAAGGACTATCAGTCAAACTCAAACTCCACTTCCCAAATAACAAACAGCAATGCGGCACTAAGATTACACCGTGACCAAAGACAATTGTCACTCCTCTTCTGAGTCATCTTTATGGACAATGGGTCTCATTCATGAAACATTCGTAAATATATGAGTAAATATGAGAGTGATTTGCACGTAAAGAGACCTTCCCGAAACCTCATCTCCTGATTCACAAATACTTCGTAAACGTCAGATGTGATAGTGAAATGTGTGTGTGTGTTAATGAATTCCAATCAGTCGTAAATGGGACGCGCGTGCACGCTCATTCTCAATTACCATAAATCCCGCCCATTAAATCCCACTGACAGCTATATATGGGCATCATATTATGACACCAAACGAAGGATTTCAATATGTCTTCTCAAAAGCGAATGAAAAAGAAAAATTTCTCAGATGCAGAAATCGAAGTTTTATCATCAGAAGTTCATTCAAAACACCACATTTTATTTTCAAGCGTCGGCTACATAGTGGCGTATCAGGTCCATTACAGATGCAGTTACTGGAGTTTCATCTGTTAATCAAACAGTCCCAGAAGTAAAAAGAAAAACCGTATGTAATTACTATATATAATATTTTTTCAAAATGCTGTGTAAATATGCACCCGATTAAGGGGAATTAAAATGCAGCCTTAGTTATTAATGAGCAAAACGTTCGGATGTTAAGCGCACTATTTACGCGTGGCTGGGAGCAGGTGGAGATTTCTTTCCTACCAACTAACATTTGGAAAATACCAACATTTCAATGAATCCGAAAATTTACGCCAGAACCACTTTACACACGATTTACACAAAAATTCGTTCTGCTCGTGTTTCATGAATGAGACCCAAAGTTATTTTCAACACTAGCTATGTGTCCATCTACCTATTTCCATTCAGATTTTTTGAGATATCGCTTTAAAAAAGCGTAGAAAACTAGTCGATTCCCTCCTGCGTTTAAATGCTGCTCACTCAATGTGTATTTTTGCATTGGATTGTGTTTTCTCTGTCAGGCCGCTCTTGTGGAGGACTTCCGAGCCCTTCGTGAGCGTCTGGAGGCTGAGGGGTGTTTCAAAACCCAGCCGCTGTTCTTCATCTTACATCTGAGTCACATCCTGCTCCTGGAGGCCATCGCTCTGATGATGGTGTGGTACCTGGGAACCGGCTGGATCAACACGGCCATCGTCGCTGTTTTACTGGGGACTGCACAGGTACGACTGACACGGTTATGACGGTCTTTAAACCATCTTAAAAATGCAGCAGGGGTGTATAAAATACAGGTGAAACTCGAAAAATTTGAATATCGTGCAAAAGTTCATTTATTTCAGTAATTCAACTTAAAAGGTGAAACTAATATATTATATAGACTCATGACATGCAAAGTGAGATATTTCAAGCCTTTATTTGTTATAATTTTGATGATTACCTTGATGAAAACCTTTTCACAATATTCTAATTTTGAATTTGGGGTTTTCATAAGCTGTAAGTCATAATAGTCAGAGCGAGATTTGATCATTCAAATAATTAAACAAAATAAGGGATGGTTAGTGATAATTCAAAACACTTTATACAGACATTTAGCAATAAATTGGTATTTTTTATTAATTTATTTTTGCATATTCTCAAAATTTGCTGTTGCAGTCTTACCAGTTAATCTCTCTCTCTCTCTCTCTCTCTCTCTCTCTGTGTGCATTTGAGCGAGATTTTTTTTTTTCATTTATTGATTTTATTTTGCATATTCTACAAATTTGCTGTTGCAGTCTGGCCAGTATATCTGTGTATGTGTGTGTGTGTGTGTGTTCGGGTGCGTGGGTGTGTGTGTGTGTGTGTGTGGGGGGGGGGGGGGTCTTATTTGCACTCTTGATGTTTTAGAGTGTCACCCCTTCATTGCTGTACACTTTTTTTCTGCACAGTGGCTGATCTGTAGCTTGTACCACCAAAAGTTTCTCTGAGTTTTCCTATTTTTTCGTATTTCCCATTCATTTCCTATGTCGCCCGTTTTTGACCTGGAGGAAGCTAAGTGTGACTATTTTTTTTACGACCCTTTAACATATCAGAATCATCTCCTTGATTTTTTTTGTGTGTCCATATAGGTAATACAACAAAAGTCACCAAGTTTCACCCCCATCCGATGAAGCAAAAAAATTAAACAATTCAAAATGTAAACGTTTTCGGTCATTTTCGGACGAAGAAGCCCAGAGGGTTAAGTTGAATTACTGAAATAAATGAACTTTTGCACGATATTCAAATTTTTCGAGTTTCACCTGTATGTCGTGTTTTGTATGTTCACAAGCTGGAAAACAAGCTTTACACACCAGTTTTCTTAGTAAATGGCATAATTGGGAACAAAAATGAACTATATAAATACACCTGCTTGTTTTTGTTTTTCAGCACTCGTTCATGTTTTTATTTGCTTTGTTTCTGAATGTGTGTGTAGTCGCAGGCTGGATGGTTGCAGCACGACTTCGGTCATCTGTCCGTGTTTAAAACCTCTCGATGGAATCACTTCGTGCACAAATTTGTCATCGGACACCTGAAGGTACCAACATGTTCTCGAAACATTTCATCTATTAATAATACCCATAAATATGCAACGGTTCTTCCACTAACTAATACAGTTCGTTAGCCTAGCTGTAGACCATTTGAATTGAGTAAACACTCTATTGTCCCATATTTGGGAAATTTATCTTGGACTCAGTAACACAGGCATCTACAGTAGATACACATTATAAATAACATATACCACATAATTCAATGATAAAAATGATTTTTAAAAATTCTTTACAAATCCAAATGATTAAATTCCATGTTTAAAAAGTCTTACTGGGGTATTTAAATAAAACTGAGGGTTAGTTCCTTCATGACATTTGCACATTGTACATGCATTTACAACTTTAAAAGTGTGATTTAATTTAAGAATAAATGCTTTAGTCTGACTGAAATCATACAATGACCATTTTTTTCGTCCAGCATGTATACAGTAGTGGCTGATATCCGGCCTTGGAAAACTGACTGAATTCACAGTCAAAATTCACTGAATAAAATCCATCCAAGATGGAGGATGAAGCTTATAAATTTGAGAGATTCTAAGATCAATATAATTCACACAATACCAAAACATGCAGTCTAATTAAAAATAAGCTATTTTACCCAATATTTGTTTGTGCTCTGTATTTGTATACTATTTATGCTACTTATTAGAGTGTCAAATATCATTAGCTTAGCAACATGCTAAGATCAAACTCCTCTACAGTGGCATGTACTTGCGCATGAGAGGTGCTGTTTGCATTTCTGTGAAAGTAGCCTCCGAATTGGTTCTGTTGGAGCATGCTAGCATGTTGTATTGGCCTGTGTACATGATGTTTTTGTGTTGTCTTCAGGGAGCATCTGCGGGTTGGTGGAACCATCGCCACTTCCAGCATCATGCTAAACCGAACGTGTTCAAAAAGGACCCGGACGTCAACATGCTCAATGCGTTTGTAGTTGGAAAAGTGCAGCCTGTGGAGGTACAAACACACTCTCCTCAGGAAACACACATGAAAACACTAGATTGACTCTGGTTTGACTCTTTCTGTCTGTCTTTACTACAGTACGGCGTTAAGAAGATCAAGCATCTGCCTTACAACCATCAGCACAAGTACTTCTTCTTCAGTAAGTGAGTTTATGGCACAGTGGCCGTCTGGGCAGAAGCTCCCCAGGAATGTGTGCAGGATTATATCATCATTTAGATCGTAAAGGATCCTAATGAGATGTCACTCTTCCTCAGTTGGACCTCCTCTGCTCATTCCAGTGTATTTCCAGTTCCAGATCTTCCACAATATGATCACACATGGCCTTTGGGTGGTAGGTTACCATGATCCCTTTGACTTTTGCTATGTTAGTGCAGCTGGATGTGCTTTTATAAGCACTTTCTCTGTCCTTATCTTATCTCCTCTCGTCTTATCTTTTTAGGACCTTGCGTGGTGTATAAGCTACTACGTTCGATACTTCCTGTGTTTCACGCAGTTCTACGGTGTGTTTTGGTCCGTGATTCTGTTTAATTTCGTGAGGTACGAAACATTTTATCTACTACTTCTGCTTTAAACATGTCTTTGTAGATTTTATATTCCAAGTGCCTTTTCAATGGATGAGAAGCACCCTTACAAATACACACACACTTACCAAAAATACCATGGTATTACCATGTGTTTTGCACATGTACCCTCTAGTAGCATGCTTTTCTTTCACTTAACAAAAATAAGGATGTTGCCCAGTTGCATTTGAGTTGTTTTCTGTGGAGTTTCTTTTCCTACATTATATTCTTTTGTTCAACCTGCCAAAACAATCTGAGAGAGAACAAACATAAGCAACAGAAAGATGGTTCTGTTGTGGATCCGCGTTCAGTGACGCCGCTGACGTGTGTCTGGTGTGTGTGTGTGTGTGTGTGTATTCTGGTTCTGTTGTGGATCCGCGTTCAGTGACGCCGCTGACGTAAGACGCTGCTGACGTGTGTCTGGTGTGTGTGTGTGTGTGTGTGTGTGTGTGTGTATTCGGGTTCTGTTGTGGATCCGCGTTCAGGGACGCCGCTGACGTAAGACGCTGCTGACGTGTGTCTGGTGTGTGTGTGTGTGTGTGTGTGTATTCAGGTTCTGTTGTGGATCCGCGTTCAGTGACGCCGCTGACGTAAGACGCTGCTGACGTGTGTCTGGTGTGTGTGTGTGTGTGTGTGTGTGTGTATTCAGGTTCTGTTGTGGATCCGCG